AGTTTGAGAATCTTATCCTGGGTTTTAATATAGGCTTCATCCTACACTCTGATACTAACTTTGCCACACCTCAAATGTAGACTTGTTGTGATAAAACTCAATTCTAAAGTGTGAGGCGCGAAAACTATACAATATGAACAACCAAACTTTTTATTACTATTGTATACATATATAGTACACAACATGCTTCTCCTTTTCTAACTGTTTATAAATTGATTTTCAGGAGTATTTCCCAAAAGGTTATTCACAACAGTTCCTTATTTATGCTCTTTCTTGATCTGAAAAGGTGGGGTTAATAAAAGAATGAGCTACACTAGCCTAGTGAGATCACCAATATATTATATACTAAAATTTAAAAATGATGAACAATTAGTAGCTAGAGAATATTAAACTCAATTGATAGTGAAATAATTAACAAATGTATGAAATGCAATTTCCTCAGTGACCACTTTACCTGCTGATACCACCTTATGTCTCCAACCACGATAAAATGATAACAACAACGGCAACAATTTGAGGCATAAGCCACACATAATCTGGCTATATGTCGATCAATCAATATTAATCAATCAATATACCTAATTGACACTGATCGTTCCTTTTCCAGTGTTACCGATCAATATGCGTGATACTAAGGTTGTATGTAATGTGCATGTGTATGACCTGTGATAAGTATATTAATGTCTTGTAATAGTTGTAAGACATTATTTTTCTCATCGTAGAAATAAAAACAAGACATAAAAAAAATTAGTTAGCATGATGAAAGAATTATTTAATAGTAAGAACCCGTCTGCTTACATTTTAGTAGCCATCAAACCATACAAAAGATGGAGCACGGAGCTATATCTAGAATATAATAATTTAAAGGGTATGGGAATCTCACACTCTTAGGGGTTGTTTGGTTGGGCTTAAAAGAGGGGTTGTTTTGTGTTTGGTTGCTTTTCTTTATTTTCCAAAAATGATTTTCCTTTACTTTTTTGTGTTTCCTTCACTTTTATGGAAACTGTTTCTTGTGTTTGTTTCGCCAAAAAATATGGGGTGAAAGTACTTTCTACCATTTTTCTTAGTTTGGTTCAACTTAAAAAAAGAAGAAAACAATTGATATGTGAATAGATTCTTTTATTTTCTAGTGTTTGGTTCAAATAAAAAAAAAAGAAACCATGACTATGGTCACCATGGTGTGCTTACCCCCCTATATGATAAATTTATTTCCAACATATATTGAGAGGTGAACATATATCAACCGTCACATAAAAATATTTAAAATTTTTAGGGACTAGTTTGTAATTTTTAAAAAAGATTTGAGGTAGTAATTTGCAAAATATTCAAAGATTTGAGGGGCTAATTTCAAAATATGACAGTTGAAGGAGAATTTCAAAATGTTCCTATATTTGATGAACTAATTTTAAAATTGAGGACATAATATTAAAACTAAGTCATAAATAAATGATATTAAGTGAAAACAAAACAGAAGCATAACCAATAATAAGTTCATAGAGAACACCAAAAGAATCAACTAGTGTCAAAACTAAGTCATATCTAACCAAGAACCAAGAACCAAAATTAGGTTTACCAAAATTATATAACCATCTCATATAACGAGGAACCAAAATGCTCAATGAACTAAGATTTGATGAAATTTAATGCTTTAGAGAATAATATGCTCAGTTATGGCCATTTTTTCATTGTATGCCCCGCCAGGAAATTCATAATAGCAATGTTGGTTGCATGTATTGCCTTGCCAATTGATTACTAGTATAGATTTTGGCTGCATACATTAAAAAAGGCCATCATCTTGACATAATATCACATTACCAATATCATAACAATCATTTCAACTAATTAATAACAAATATTCACAATTTTAAAACTAAAGGAAGTCATATAGCCAAGAACTAAAAACCAAGCACCAGGTCATATAACTAGGAACTAACAACCAAGCACCAAATTCATGTAGAACAATTGAAGAATCAACTAGATTTATTGATAATGCTAACATTTATAGAGAGAATGCATAAGCCAAGCACACAATTAGGTAGCATATTCAGACAATAAACATGTTAGAACAAGAGTCAAAGCATAGAAGTGCAATATTGGTCCTGCAAAGATTAGTAGATAGAACATGGACAGCAAAATATCCAAACCAATAGCATACAACTAAAACCAAACCAAAAGCACAAATATCCAACACAAAATCCAAGGATGACAAATATCCAAGGCTAACAAATATCCAGCATAAATATCCAACATAACTAAAACCAAACCATGGATGTGACCCAGGCCGAGACATTACATGGCTGGAAATTCAAAGGCAAGCACACAACTCAGGCCACAAATATCCAACACAAAAGCCAAGGCTAACAAATATCCAGCACAAATATCCATCACACTAGAAACCCAGCACATATATCCAACACAACTGAATCCAAACTATGGTTGTGACCAAGGCCGAGAACAACATTGGCTGGAAAATCAAAAGCAAGCACACATCTGAGTCTAAAAATATCCAAGACTGAAACCAAGGCTGAAACCAATGCCGAGACAACTATCCAAGGCTGAAACCAAACCATTTCAACCGATTAAAAATAAATATCCAACACAAATGAAACCAAGGCTGAAACTTAATACAATTTATAGAAAATATGCTCAGAAAAAGCCCTTTTCTTCATTATCTGCCTCGCCATAAAGTTTATAATTGCAATGTTGGATGCAATTATCATAATGACCATACATAATAAGCATTGTCATTATGGATTGCCTCGCCAATATATTACTGCTATAAACTTTGGCTGCATATATTAAGAATAGCCCATCATCATAACATAAAATATGCATACCTCTTTAACTTTTTAATTCCATCACACTAGAAATATGTAGGATACTCTCAATCCATCAAGGTGAAATCATTCACCTTATCCTTTAATTCCATCACACTAGAAATATGTAGGATACTCTCAATCCATCAAGGTGAAATCATTCACCTTATCCCACTTGTAAACCTATCAAACAAGTAGTAGGATACTCTCAATCCATCAAGGTGAAATCATTCACCTTATCCCACTTGTAAACCTATCAAACAAGTATGCATTAGCAATTGAATATTTAATATAACATGTAAATTGTATATATCATAGTCTATAAACTAAATACTAAGTATGTAAAGTCACGACTGAGATGCATGAAGATAGAGATAGTAGAATTAGTTTTACATAAAAAAAGTTTAATATATCTACCATAGTTAGTAGGCAAAAGGATGAGCAATCATTTATAACTCATTTACATAAAAAATGACAATACAAGCATTGATATAATTAGTTAGTTTCATAAAAATATCCCAAAAGCATCCAATCCAACCTTCCACCACTCTAATCAATAAGTTGTCTCTTCATGAACTCAGTCAACACCTTCTTTTGCATAATAGTTGGTCTCCCCATAAACAATCTAGCTTGTGATTCATTCTCATATAATTCTTGATAAAACTTATTAAGAATTTCTATGTTAAATTCATCATCATGTGCAAATATAACTTTTGCCAACTTCTCAGTCCAATGCATACTCACCATGCGCATAGATGATGTGAATTGTTTTACATCATTTACTATCTCACGCATAAGCATTGTGTCCTTACTAGACCTCCCCCCTTTCCTTTACGCATCTTTGACATATTATTTTTTGCTTTATTCACACTAGAAGTTAGATTGTATTTTGAGGGCATAGTTGGGACCTTCGGTAGTGGAATATCATCTTCGTCTAATGAGACATAGCGAGGCATGTTCTTCTTTGGCATACTAATATCATCATCATCACCACCAATATTAAAATATGCACTACCACCAAATTTGTCCAACACATCTACCACGTAGTCTCCTCTAGTAACATCATCTCCAATAATAATTGCGAGGTCTTCTTAATATTTCATGGTCTTATTGATGTATCCCCTAAGCTTAGAACTTTTGATACTCTTGTCCGCATAGTTTAGGCATAGATCAAATCCATATATGAACAACAAGGAACAAAATGGTAAATATTTGATCAAAAATGAACATGACAAAATGGTAAATACCTCTAGTCATCTATCAAAGCAAGCATCATTCATAATTACCATCTTCTTCGTATCATCCCAACCGGCACCACTCAAGTTATGACATTTTTTTCATGTCCAAAAATCTATTGTGGATAGTTTTTATACGGTTTTCCATGTTCTCGATTGTGAATGTTGAACCTAATTATTCATTGATATGAATGGCGGCGCCATGATAAGCGATTTTTTTGAGCTTCTTATCAGCCTTCATTCCATCTTTAGCATACTTTGCAAAGAAAAGAATTAGCAAATCATCATATTTACTCTCTCATAATTGGTTAACTCTCTCCTTGCAAGTGTTTTTCTTTTTAGATTTATGAGCAAACACTTTCTTATTCCTCTTTAGGTTAGGGGATGAACTTTCATCACCATCAATATCAATAGCATTTCTCTTGTTGCTTTGACATTGTTGATTAGGTGATGAAGTTTCACCCATGCTATAACTTTGACGTTGTAAAGATGGAGGAGCATTTAGCATGTTCATAAATAAAATTGGTGGTTGTTGGCCAATTCCCCAAGTTAGCATCTTGCATTTGGAAATTATTCCAAATATTAGGACCTTGGCCAACTTGTGAAGAATGATAAGGCATAAATCTCGGGTTGAACCCACAAGGGATTGATGAATTCCTTGGGGTTCTAGGAGATGAATTTGATGTCTTACTCTTGCCTTTGACCTTATAAAGTTCCTCATAATTGAAGTTGTCAGCCATACCTAGAAAATAGTTATAGAGAAATACAAAAAATAAATGTAAGTTGAGTAAAAAAATGTGTCCTAAGAGAAAAGTCCATACAACATATAATAGTAACATGCAAATGTTTCTCAATTAACCTTACATAGTTTTGCATCACACCATCATAAAATGAAGTACATGAAAATAGAAAAATTCATAACATAAGACAACATCTCTAATACATTGCATCACATGCCTATTTCATTAGTATTCTCCCCCTTATATTTTTCACAATAATCAACTCGCATTTCCCAAGCTGTTTGATTTCTACGATCATTCCACATGTTTCTTGATTGTGTTTGCTCCCTTTGAATTTGGGGTTGAGAGACATCAACAATATTATTCTCATCTTCATTAACAACATCACATTCATCATCTTTGATGTCAACGGTCTCATTGAATATGTCATCATCCGTGTCAACCATTGCAATATAATTGTGAGGAACTATGCAAGCTAATACGATATCCACTTGCACACGAAAAGGGTAATGAGGCTTTGCGGTGAGAATTTTGAAACGATTCTTCAAACAACCAAATATAGCTTAAATCTTAGACCTTAAAGAAAAATGTCTAAGATTATATATTTCTCTTCTATTTTTAGGTGTTTTTTCTATTTGCTTCAAATTATAACTAACACCACGATACGGGGAGATGAAACCCGACATGGTCGTGTATCCCGCATCACACAAGTAATACTTCCCTACAATTTGCATGATATAAAAGTGTTTATTAGAATTTTTATCATTTCATTGAATATCATTTATTAATTGAAGTAATTGCTTAAAATTGAAGATTTGATGAAATTACCACCATATACTTTCAAGCCATGTGGCTGTGTCCTAGACAATGCATCTTGAAGGACTCTATAGTCATTTGCAGAACCTTCCCACACAGGTAATGCATAAGTGACACCACGATACGGGGAGATGAAACCCGACATGGTCGTGTATCCCGCATCACACAAGTAATACTTCCCTACAATTTGCATGATATAAAAGTGTTTATTAGAATTTTTATCATTTCATTGAATATCATTTATTAATTGAAGTAATTGCTTAAAATTGAAGATTTGATGAAATTACCACCATATACTTTCAAGCCATGTGGCTGTGTCCTAGACAATGCATCTTGAAGGACTCTATAGTCATTTGCAGAACCTTCCCACACAGGTAATGCATAAGTGAACAACTTGTTTGGAGTACAAGCCATAAAAATATTTTGTGTAACATCTTTTCGACCACGGAATCGTGGAACAAGACTAGAAGGTAGTATAGCATCAACATGTGTCCCATCTATCTGTTGGCCTTCTTGTTTTGATGATGTTTAACAAACAATTTACCACTAATGTTGTTTGTCTAGTATTTGTGTATTCTTATTTATTGTAGACAAACAACGTTGTTGGAGGATGGATGGAATAGAGCTTCAACGATCATATCCAAAGGAGGTTGGCGGAATGTCGGTGAAGCCTTGCTATTCAAAGTTTAAGATCCAAGTTAAAGCTTCATCCACGAGATTACCTAGAAGAGCTTATTGAAGATCAAGATCTAGCTTGGGTAATTTAGTTTAGGATTTATATTATGTGTGTTATATACTCTAAGCTCAATTATCTATACACACACATTTATTGGTTTCTTCGTATATATATATATATAGTCATATATATATATATAAGTTTTGGTTTCTATGCATATATATAGTTATATATATACATACATATGTTTTGAGTTTTTATGGTTATATATATGAAATTCTATATTTCATATTTTCTATTATGTTTTTGAAAACATTGCATAGAATATGCAATTTTGTGAAAATATTGTATTCTTAGTTTGTAGACTTCAATATCAGTTTATACATGTTTTACTAAGTCTACAAAAACATTTCACAAAGTTTCAAAAGTTGGTTTATGTCAAAACATCAAAATTCAAGTATCTCATATTTTCATGTTTTGGACTAGTTTGTAAAATGATGATATTTTTCATTTGGGAAGTCCTTTTTCGAAACCAGTCGTTGTAGCATGTTTATTATCATGTCTACAATCATTCCCCAAAGTTTTACATTTTTTGGAATTTATTTGATATTTTTAAACAGTGTTTTAAAATCAGCTTTGTTTTTCTGGGATGTCAGTTTTCGGTCGACCGGTACGGTCGACCGGTCAATTGACCATTCGTCAGTATTTTTCCAGAGAATCGTCGGTCGACCGGTCCGGTCGACCGAGAGCTCAAATCGGTCGACCGACAGAATTTCCGGTCGACCGACGATGGTCCAGAACGTTTTCTTCGTGTTTTTGCTCTCATCGGTCGACCGACGGGATTTTCGGTCGACCGACAATATGACCGTTGGACTTCTAACGGCTATTTCTGAGCTGACTCTTCTGGGGCATTTTGGTCTTTCTGTTTTGGGGTTTTTGCTGAGATTTCTAGTGGGTATATATACCCCATCGCTGATGTCTTTTCAGTCAGTTAAGAGAGTTTTAAAATAAGTTTAAGAAAGTTTTTAATCAAGGGTTTATGTTTGGTTTAAGTGTGTTTATAAGCTTTTAAGCATTTGAGTGTTTTGGTTTTGTGAATCACTTCCACAAGAGCTTGAGGAGATCATCTATTGGTGTTTGGGCATCCAACTCTTCTCCCTCCACTCTTGATATATTGAGAAGTTTTCTAAACTCTATTTCTAGCTATTTTATATATTTGATTATGGCTAGGTCCAACACTTAGTGGGTGTAGAGTGTGATTGCAAGAGTGTGAGTTGTAGAGTTTTCGGTTAGCTAGAAAACCGAGTGTGTAGAAGAAGTTCCGGCTTCCAAACCGGATTGTGTTAGTGGATCTCTCCCTGGGAGTGGGGAGCGGAGACGTAGGACGGAAGGTCCGAACTCCGTGATCATATTGCTTGTTTGAGTGTGCTTTGGCGTTCATTCATATTTATGTTCATATCTTATGTCGCCATTGTCATTAGCTCATTATCTATATCATCCACTATCTTGTTTAGATTGTTTACCCCTTGTGTTAGTTTATATATCCTTACATATATATATATTTCATCATATAGGATATATCTCATTGTTTACATTGCTTATCCTAGCTCATATATCTTGTGGTATTTTATTCTTGCTAGGATAACTCATTAATTAATTTTAATTGGCATTTAATCGGATTAGATTAGCATAAGACCCTAATCACCCCCCCTCTAGGGTCTAACACTATCATACCAATACAATCCTAGAGAACAAAAAATTACTATTGAATATTTTTAATTAAATTAAATGAACATGTTTTTAATCACAAATTAAAGAGAGAATACCTTGAAATGAGGATAGTATAGAGGGTTGCTAAGGATCTCATGTGGAACTTTATTCCGTGATTGTCTCAAAAAGCATGGACGTATGTGGCAAATTGCTTCTAACACTTTGTTCAAATACCTACTCACAGTCTCCCCAAATCTAATAAAATGTGACCTAATACTTTGATTTTTAGTTTTATGTCCTAAAATATTCAAAGTCATAGCAAGTTGCTCCTCCACTGTAACATGTATTGAGTCTCGCAATAAATCATTCCTTCTTATGATCTCTGCAAGCTTCATAAAAGCACCACTACACATTCTAACATACTTGACACAACTATCACTAAATCCATTATATATCTGGTCTATGTGTTGTTTTCTATTTTGATATTGCTTTATTTTCTCTTCACTAGGACCTGCACGTATAGATCTACGTCTACTTTGCATTCTCCTCATGAATGTCATAACCATAACTAAAACAGATAGTGTAGCACCTGAACACATATTAGCTATTTTCTCTTCGTCGAGATCACCATCCATCTAAAATACAAGCGTCATATTAAAGCAGATACCAACATTAAAGGCAAATGATCAAAGTCTTTTAGGAAAATTATCATAATCACTTATGTAATGATTGTTTAATTATTTTGTTCAGCTCATATGTGCAGTATGGTAAGAAAATGTTATTAGACTTGGGATTCAAAATGTCTTTGGAAAGTAATGCAGACGAAGTCATGTCACATTGTTCAATATCACGAATTCAAGCATGTTCTATGACCCACAATCAAAAATACATTTTTTCTCTTCTTATTGCTAGGCCAAGAAGAATGGTAACTACAATATGTGTACATAAAGAGAAAATTTTATAAGTACTCGCACTTTTTATGATCGATCTAAACCCTCCAATTGGCGCCAAAATCGTTAACAAGACCCCAAGAATGATGCAAAACCGTTAACAAACTCCCACAATAACTAAACAAAACTTGGACATAGCCACAATTTCTTCATTCTTATGCTATTTCGTTCAAAACCCACAAATCAAATGTACGCAACAAACCCAAACCCTAAGATATACATCCATACTATGAGGAATTTCATCAAACAGCGAGCATGCAAACTTAGCAAGAGAAGTTTTCACTGCCATAAAATCACACCTATCTAAAGAAATACCAACAAATAGGACATAGATCTATGAAACTATGATTATTTTTATTTGCCAATAATCAATCAACAAACCAATAATCAATCAAAAGAAGTACCCAACAATGAACTTATTTGCCAATAATCACACCTATCTAAAGAAATACCCAACAATGAACCTAGCTACCAATAATCAATCAAAATCAATCTTATAGATCAAAGATAAAAAAAAATCCATCAATAATTCCCTAGAAAATAGGATATAGGTCTATGAATCTATGATTATATATGATGATTTGCCAATTTTTTTTAAAATAAAAGAACGGAGAAAGAGGGATCTAGATTTTACATTCAATAGTAGAGAGACAACGCTGGAGTCGAAGAACAGATAGATCAGTGCCGCTCAATGAACCAAAGGAAGGAGGCGGGAAAAATTAGAGTGAGAGAGAGAGAACGCCGAGCGGTGATCGTAAACCCTAAGGGTGAAAGGAGAAGGAAAGAGCGAACATACTGGTTTAATCACTTTCCAGTGATTTTGGTGTTTTGGGGACGGAAACATACTTTCCTCCAAATCTCACCTGGCGATGATTTTTCAGCCCTCTTTCTTTTTAGATGTTGGATATTTGTGCAGAATATTTGTCAGCCTTGGCTTTTGTGTTGGATATTTGCGCTTTTGGTTTGGCCTGAGTTGTGTGTTTACCTTTGAATTTCAAGCCAGGTAATGTCTCGGCCTGGGTCACAACCATGGTTTGGTTTCAGTTGTGTTGGATATTTGTGCTGGATATCTGTCAGCCTTGGCTTTTGTGTTGGATATTTCTGCTTTTGGTTTGGTTTCAGTTGTATGCTTTTGGTTTGGATATTTTGCCATCCATGTTCTATATACTAGTCTCTGCAGGACTAATATTTCACTTCTATGCTTTGACTCTTGTTCTAACATGTTTTTTGTTTGAAGATGCTACCTGATTGTGTGCTTGGCTTATGCATTCTCTCTATAAATGTTAGCATTGTCAATAAATCTAGTTAATTCTTTAATTGTTCTCCATGAACTTGGTGCTTGGTAGTTAGTTCCTGATTATATGACCCGGTGCTTGGTTTTTAGTTCTTGGCGATATGACTTGCTTTAGTTTTAAAATTGTTAATATTTGTTATTAATTGGTTGAAATGGTCGTTATGACATTGGTAATGTGATATTATGCCATGATGATGGTCTTTTTTTAATGTATGCATCCAAAATCTATACTAGTAATCAATTGTCAAGGCAATACATGCAACCAACATTGCTATTATGAATTTCTGATAATCACATTTTATTATAATTTTATACCCTCATTATTTATTTTTAATGAATAAATATACCACTAATAATTGTTTTTTATCTTTAATTGCATGTTAGTGAAGAATAAAGCCCAAGATCTCTTATCTCAACAAAAACCCATGAATTAAATGAAGAACACAAGCAAGAGTCAAAAATCCCAAGCCCAGAATCAAGCCGAGTAGCCTGTAGAAGCCGGAGAAAATAAAAAAATTAAATATGAAAAAAAAATGTATCAAGATAGTTGGCTGCAAAGAAACGACAATATCTCTCAATCCGGAAGGCGGAATTTAACATATAATATATGAAAATCGCCTATCTCGACGAGACGAAGCTATCCGTGAAATCAGAATTTGGAAATAGTGGGCATCGATGTCGGCATCGATGTGGGCATCGATGCTGGCATCGATACCTGCATCGATGCCTGCATCGATGCCAGATTACTGTAGCGCGCGTCAATGGCTGATTTTGCTTGTCTTGG